ACATAAGACAATATATAATTATATATACACATAATACACCCTTATATATACATACTATACATATTATATATACTATATATACTATATATATATTTATATAGCTATATATAAGCAATTTATACTAGTATATACATATATAGTTTACAAGAAAGTGCCTTAGATAAAAAAAAATTTTAAAAAAAATAGCCCGAAATGGAAAAAGCCCGTTAGGCCCGCGGGCCCGGTCCATTTAGCCCAGGACCATGTGGGCTTAGGACCGTCGTGGGCCGGTTCCACACATTGGGCCCACCTCAAGCCCAGGCCCGTTTGGCCCGGGCCACAATACAGCATTAATCTACCGTAGGAATGCAAAAAGGAAAACTTACTTTTCCCTAACCTAGTTAGAATGGGATTAAGAGTATTTCATTATAAATAGGCCATTAGGAAAGCATTTACCTTGTTCTTTTTGTTAGGGTGACAAAATTTTCTTGCGTTGGTGGTAGAATAATTTGAAGCATGGATTTAGAAGCTGTGTTTATGAGTGTTTTTTGCATAGGAAAAAGGCCAGATAATATATTTGAGTTGATTAAAGCTGCTATAACAGTGGGTGAACGGAAGTATCCTGACGAGTTTAAGAAGCATCAAAATAAAATATTAAAGCAGTTGATGAATTCTGGAGTACTGAGTGCTAAAGAAGATTTCGATAATGGTTATGATTCTTCCATTGAAGAGGTGGAGCGGAGTTTTTTTGAAGATCAAGAAAATCATGAGAAAGAAAACTGCAATACTGAAAAGACCAACTCTAATGTGACTACTGAAAATCAGAGTTTCAAGAAGACAGATAACGACAATCTAGCCAAGAACATGAATACAACAGTAAGAGCGATGTCCAAGAGTTGCACTGGTGGTTTAACGAAGATCAAGCTGCCAGAAGAGTAGGATATATATATATATATATATCAAGTAAACTAATGAATAAGGAACTCAACTTTCAGTTGGTACTTGAGCTAAAAGACAAATGAATAGCTAGCGGAGAGCATTCAAAATCACCTTCAAATAAGAATGGTTATAGTATTTGGAATGTGCAATCAAGACTGTATTTGTAAGGACTTTGATTTTGTATACCTTAAGCTATCAGGAAGAGCTCTCGTTTGCTTAAAAAAATGGGAAAACGACTAGGCTGAGCTGCCTGCATTATTGGCTTGATACTAAGTATTGTGCAACCTTTCAGGAAAAATTTGTTAACATCATCAACCTTTTTCTTTCCATAAAAAACATAAACGGAAAAGGGCATAAACTACCCCTGTTGTTGCTAAATGGTTTACAAACACCTTTCATTCATCTATCCGTCCAAAAAAACACGCGACGTTAATTCTATTAATAAAATTACCTCCACAACTAACAGCATAACCGGTGGACCTTCAATTTAATGACGTGTCATTTTTTTACTGGGCCACGTGACAATCTCGTACCGAAATAAAAAATAAATTTTATTTCAATCCACTTAGCTGACCCGACCCAAAATTTTGTTAGAGCGAGAAACAATGGCGAAAGAAGTGGAGTGAGAAGGGGCAGACATCTTGTTGTTCCCAATGGCTTCCCCATTTTTCCGATCTTCTTTTTGATTTCACCCAAATTCTCTCTCCCCCATTCATCTTCTCTCTTGCGCAACTATCCCCATCGGGAGTTGACCTCCACCATCATACTGACCGCAACCACTGTTTACCACTGTAGTTGCTGCCTTCGCCACCGTAGCTACTGCTCCCACCACCATAGTCGTTGCTCTCATCACCTCCTCTACTATCTTGCCTACCTCACCACCATAGTCGTTTCTCCTGTGAACAAACCCCCTAAAGTTACAGATAACTAAAGGAAAAGTGAGGGAAAAAATTCTTATTTTACACTATAAAACTAAAAATAAGAAAGCTTACATAAATCGTTGGCATCTTCAAGAAATTAAGTTAAGAGTATTTAATTGAGAGACAGAACTTCGTGATGGATGGTGAGATATCTAAATTCAATTTTGATAGGATCAGATAAGTGGGTTAATGTAATTTTATGACCCAGGTAACAAAACCTTGGGTCGGCTAAGGTAGGTGGGTCGAAATAACATTCATTTTTTTGTTCTAATCAGAGATTGTCACGTGGCCCAGTAAAAAAATGACAGGTCATTAAAGTGAAGGCCCAACAGTTCTGTTGTTAGTCGCGGGAGATAATTTTATTAATAGAATCAACGTCGTGTATTTTTTTGGATGGATAGATGGACGGAGGATATTTGTAAACCATGTAGCAAACGATAGGGGTAGTTAAAGCCCTTTTTTCGAAACATAAATAACAATTGGCATTAAATGATTATAGTTATCTCTTTAATTTAAAAATAAAACTAGTATTAGTACCGCACGATGTGCGGATAATGTTATGATCCTGCTATATTCTATAAATTAAAAAGAATAAATTATATGAATAACTATTGGCATAAACTTAACCCCATATATAGCCGGTGATACAAACAAATAAAAATACAATATGATTCAAAAATAAATACTCCTTTCCTTTCAATTTACATAAAGTATTTTTCTTATTAGACTATTCCAAAAGAATGACACATTTAACTTTAAATTTTTCATTTTACCCATCTTACCCGTAATGAGAAGCTCTTACACTCATACAACTATCACAGCCCCACAAATCTTTTAGGACCATAAGTTTCAAAAGTTTTCTTTTTCGTTTTTAAACTTCGTGCCAAGTCAAACAACAACAACAACCCAGTGAGATCCCACAAATGGGGTATATGGAGGACAGTGTGTATGCAGATCTTACCCCTACTCCGGAGAAGTAGAGAGGCCATTTCCGATAGACCCTCGGCACAAGAAGAAGGAAAGAGACAGTGTATCAGTAACAACTTAATTCAAACTATCTCATCAAAATTGAAACTGAGTGAAATAATACTAAATAGAGTAATAACTAATAAAAATACATTTAGTAATATCTTAATTTAAATTATAAAAATATATTATATTATTATCTCAACATAATAATTTCTCACATCAACATCAACTTCTACCAACCTAAAATTTCACAATGATAAATTAATATAAACACACATGATGATTTATTGACAACCAATATATTCTAACTTTTGGGAGTTACCAACATATAAAATAGTTGGATCATAATTTGCTCAACAATTTTAATGCCACCTCAATTTTAATCACACAATTAAAGCCACTTTTTTTTTAACAATTTAAATGATGCTTTTGGGATATAGTTAATATTAGTATATTATAATTAAATAAATATTAAACTACTTTAAATATATTGTACTTCTTAAAATGAATTTTACCTTATGATTTTTGTAATTCACTTTAATTTGTGTAAATAGTAATCCCAAATAGTGCAATTATATTCCTGTATATGTTTACCCTATCTAAATCTATTTAATTCTAATTGACATATATATACCGATCCCATCGGTTTTTCAATCAATTGGCGCATACACTTTGAGAGACATAAATATCAACAACGGATTAAAAAGTCATAGTCCATACCTGAGCCATTAGAGAAGAATCCATTCTCCCTTCTTATCTAATTTAGCATGACAAACTACTAGCACTAATAAAAAAATAAAATATAAAAGTATATGTATTGCTTCCAAACAATTGAGATATAAAATAAATTATAAAATGTTGGATAATTAATTTTTCCGTAAGGCAACATAATTGAGATTTAATTCAGCCGATGTCTGAGTTGCTTCATAGTTAAAACATTATTCCCACAAAAATATATATCATCAGTTCCTCTATTCTTGTGTAAAATTATGATTGATTAACTCCCTTCCAACATTATTGGAGTTGCTTTAATATTGATCGAATCATACTGCATTTATGTGACAATTCTCTTTTCGAGAGTCATTTTAAAAGTATTCAACTCCAAACTATATACATTACACATCTTGATTCTCAAAACTAAAATGCTAATTGAGCAAGAGATATAGATTTATTTTTAAATTAATTCAAAATATCAATTTACTCACATTATCTTTATACCTCCTCTTTCTATATTATTCCCTCTACTATGAAATTTTATATAATTGTTTCATTTATATGGAAGTTTGACATTAAATTTTCATTAAATTAACTATATAAGAATTTAAATTATATTTAAATATTTTTAATTTAATTCTTGGAATTATTACCTGTATTTTTTTAGTTTTATCTATTATAACGGTTTTAAATACGTGTATCTTATTCATATAATATGACTTATGTCATTATTATTTTAGAAACGTTCTCTTCTCAAAGATCAAATAAATCTTATCATTCTATATATATATTTGCTATTGAGATTATTACTTATTTACATATTTTTCTTCTTTTTTGATTCCTTGTTCATGTTATTGCATTACCCATAACTTAGAGTTATTTATATCATTGCCCACAACTCCCGTTAGTAGATGAATTTAGTTTTTCTTTTTTCTTGTAAAAAAATTATATTCACTATTTTTTATTCTTCTACTGAAACTAATATTTAAATTTATCAATAATATTTTTGATCATCATTTATTTATTATCTTTATTATATATTTTAGCTGAATGGAGTAGTGGTACTCGTAGTATGTGTTGATAATACTTCCATATTTATCTTTATAATGAGATAAGATAAGGGTGTTATTTTTATCTTTAAGCTCAATATTTTCTTATGGTCAAAAAATTATTAGTTAAGATAGAGTAGTTGGTTATATCGTTATAGGACTATTATTCTTTCTTTCCTTTCAGATTCAAAATAATCTTATTTACTACCTTTCCATTTAAATTAAAAAATTATCTTTTTAATTTTAAATTAAATTAAATATTATTATAAATATTATCCTAAATTGTCTTTCAGTTCAATTTTTTTGTGGTCAAAACTTTAATTCATATTTTCACTCTTTTGTTATCACTACTAATATAATATAAATCTTAATTTCATATTTTCTATACTTAAATTTATTGAATTAACGTCTTAGGGCACAAGGAGAAGCGAACGTTATTGATCAACTAAGGCAGTTACGAAAGTTAAGTTTTGATCCAACAACTCGGTAATTATGATTATGGGTTCAAACCTAGATTTTTTTAGTTTTATTTCTAGTAACAAACACTTTTTTATTTTTTCTGTTGTTTTTGTTGTGAAAATTTTCAGAAAACTCTTTCTTATTATTTAGAACAATTTGCTCATTGAGCCTCTCATTTGAATTGGAATATTTATGTATTGATTAGCTTTTCTAATTAATTAAACAATCAATTCAAATTTAACTTTCTTTCCATTTAGATTCAAAATAATCTTATTTACTATCTTTGTATTTAAATTAAAGAAATATCCTATCTCCCAATTTAAATTAAAATACTATAATAAATATTGTCTTAAATTGCCAAGTGGCTTTATATTAGCTTGCAACTTGGCTAAATGAGAAGGCAAACTTTCTTGCTTTAATATATATATAGATTTTATATTTTAGCTGAATGGAGTAGTGGTACTCGTAGTATATGTTGATAATACCTCCATATTTATCTTTATAATGAGTTAAGATAAGAGTGTTATTTTTATCTTTCAGCTCAATATTTTCTTATGGTCAAAAAATTATTAATTAAGATAGAGTAGTTGGTTATATCGTTATAAGACTATTATTATTTCTTTCCTTTCAGATTCAAAATAATCTTATTTACTACCTTTCCATTTAAATTAAAAAAATTATGTTTTAATTTTAAATTAAATTAAATATTATTATAAATATTATCCTAAATTGTCTTTCAGTTCAATTTTTTTGTGGTCTAAGACTTTAATTCATATTTTCACTCTTTTGTTATCACTACTCTTTTGTTATCACTACTAATATAATATAAATCTTAATTTCATATTTTCTATATTTAAATTTATTGAATTAACTTCTTAGGGCACAGGGAAAAGCGAACGTTATTGATCAACTAAGGTAGTTACGAAAGTTAAGTTTTGATCCAACTACTCGGTAATCATGATTGGTTCAAACCTAGATTTTTTTAGTTTTATTTCTAGTAACAAACACTTTTTTATTTTTTATGTTGTTTTTGTTGTGAAAATTTTCAGAAAACTCTTTCTTATTATTTAGAACAATTCACTCATTGAGCCTCTCATTTGAATTGGAATATTTATGTATTGATTAGCTTTCCTAATTAATTAAACAATCAATTCAAATTTAACTTTCTTTCCATCTTGATTCAAAAGAATCTTATTTACTATTTTGTATTTAAATTAAAGAAATATCCTATCTCCCAATTTAAATTAAATACTATAATAAATATTGCCTTAAATTGCCAAGTGACTTTATATTAGCTTGCCATTTGGCTTAGTGAGAAGGCAAATTTTCTTGCGTTAATATATATATAGATTCAAAAGAATCTTATATATTATCT